ATATGTAATACTTTTTCTGTATTTCCGCACCTAAGGCACTTGTAACTGTAAAATCTACCACAACCCATTTTTTTTTATTTTTCCTCCCAATCCCTTTTGTGAATTTTGAAAACATCTTAATCGCAGTGGCTCAAATTTGGTGTATATGGCGGGTAAGAAAGCCATTCAAACTTCCATTTCTTTACTGTTGTAGTAGCTCTTGAAAAATTTAAGTTTCTTGGTGAAATAAATATTTTTGTCTCGTTCATGCAGATATCTATAATTTTGTCCAAATGCCACAATAAGAACTCTTTGTAGTCTCTGCTTGGTTGTACATGGTTTCCCAGATAATAACATTGTTAATAACAGATTTCTGCTCATGTATCTTCAGATACTCATGGGAATTTTTTTCATGGTTTTATTTTGGACTGACAATTGTTTTGTTTTTTGTGCCTGCAAATTTTATTTGGCTAGCTACTATGCTCGCTCATTTTAACTTTTTTTGTGTTCCAAAACGATTTTTTGTTATTTGTGTGATGTGGCAACTTATATAATATTATGAGTCCCTTATCATTATATTATCTTGATTTTGAAATAGTTCTACTTTTATTTTTTATCGATAGAACGAAAATCAAACTAAATACCACACATTTATCATTCATTGTTCTTATAACACAAACAGATACGACTAATTTTGGCACAGTAAGGCCATCTTCATCTAAAATAAATAGGAAGTATGTACGTAATGATAATACAAAAAATCGGTGTATTTTTTTAACCCAGAACTCCTCGATATAGAAATTGTGATAACAGGTAACTCCAATTAAATATTCATTACATAGTTACAAAATTACCACAATGATGGAATGATTTATGCCTTAACTTCACAACAAATATACTTTTATCATTGACTAGTTGGGGATTGAAAGAATATTGTTTGTTTGATGTTTTTCTCCTAAAATATTAAAGACGTACAAATCACTGCTTAAGTTAATGCTTGAAAATAATAATAATAAATTAAGTTTTGGTCATTCTGGAGGAGAGAACTATAAACAGCAATAACTGAAGTAATAATTTTTTCTACACCCACATGGATTTTACCTTATCTACGCACAGATTACAAAACGAAAAAGTATGCTATTGCCTTCAACTGAACAAATATATTTCATATCCATTCTAGGTAGTGAGAACACTGCAAAAAAATGAAATCCGCCAATCACCGTTCATATTTTGATCAACCGACTGCTATTATTTTTAAAATTTTAAATAAGTGACAATTCTGTCAAACTAATTGTCAGTATATTTTTTAGTTATTGAGATTAAACATACATTAAAATGGGTTATTCTTGTATAGAATCAATAAATAATAACATTTCTTTTTTTATTTTGTCTATAATTATAAATAATTTGTTAATTAAAATAAAATTTTATGATGTCAATTTAATTACGAGTATTAAAGCAACAAAAATAAAAGATTAAGTTGTCTTGTGGTTAGGGTAATTGCCTTTCACGCAGAGGATTGGAGTTCGATTCTCGGATGGTGAAAAATTAAATTAACTTTGTCTCTTTTTTTTGTTTATTTTAAAATTTGTTATTTTGTTAATAACCTAAAATATTTTTTTTATTTGTAAATTTTCGTTAGTGGGTCGTAGAAAAAATATACTGTACAACTCGAGTTGATTGTCCACATCGCACTCAGACGAGTGAGCACTCCGCCTACGGCGTCGTGCTCAAATTTCGTCTTCGTGCGATATGGCCATCATATCCACTCTTGTTGCACAAATTACTATTATCAGTTTTATGCTTTTCTTTTCTAGTTAGCAACGTTCAATCTTTTAATGCCCTCTTCTAACTCCTTTTCCTATCTGTCCTTTGGTCATTTTATTTTCCTTCCTCCTAGTATACTATCCAATATTTTCTTTGTAACCTATCCCTCCCATCCATCGAATTCTTTGCGCTTTGATGACCGTTATATTTAAGTCTTTATAGCTCACTAATTTCGATATTTATTCTTCTCTCCCAAATCCCATCATTTTTTTGCCTCCAAATATTTTTCTAAGCACTTTCCTTTTCCATATTTCTAGTGTCTGTATATCTTCCAGTTTTTGATAAAATGATTTAAATTTGAATTTTAATTAATCCTTTCCTACCTAGATGTAGCTACACTCTTTAACCTCCCTTTTTTGTCCATTATATCGCAAAAGTCGTTCAGCAAAATAATATACGCAACCGTACTTTTATTTTATGTTCTCAATTAAGTTGGTCTGCTGGAAAAGATTTGTCAACACCGCTTATTTGTAGATATATATATATATGAAAAGGTTTAGTGCGGTGAAGAATTAACAGAAAAAAGGGGTTATTGGGAAATACCGCAAAAAAAGAGAGAAAAAAGCCTGAAGGGCAAACCGTAGACACGTGTTTCTGACTATTGGTCTTCATCAGTACGGTGCAGCCAAGTTCAAAAGAGAATGGAACTAGGCGATGGAATAAAAAACAAACAGATCACTCAAGTGGCCAACCACACATTTGTGGCTTCGGCCAACAATCCCTGTGATTACAGGGAAGTTATTGCGGTATTTCCCAATAACCCCTTTTTTCTGTTAATTCTTCACCGCACTAAACCTTTTCATGTTTAGTTTCCTTGGGCTAGGATGCATCACCATGATGGCTATAACTGCCGCCGTGGCGACGCAATAACTTCCCTGTAATCACAGGGATTGTTGGCCGAAGCCACAAATGTGTGGTTGGCCACTTGAGTGATCTCCTGTTTGTTTTTTATTCCATCGCCTAGTTCCATTCTCTTTTGAACTTGGCTGCACCGTACTGATGAAGACCAATAGTCAGAAACACGTGTCTACGGTTTGCCCTTCAGGCTTTTTTCTCTCCTTTTTTTGCGGTATTTCCCAATAACCCCTTTTTTCTATATATATATCGTTAGGCAATGTACCAATTCCATAGCAAGATCAGGGCCGACTAGAGGAGGGGGTAGCCGGGACTAATTCCCGGGGCCCGAACTCAAATGGGGGCCCGGCAGCGGTATATGGGGGGCCCGGCAATTGTTTTTTTGTTTTGTATGAGAAATTCGATATTTGGGTTTTTTTTTTCTCGTTTATGGGGAATTAAATATTTAGATGTCTAATTAGGATCGCAGGCAGGTACCTACTTGGGATAAATACTTATCGTAAGAATCTGTTAGTGGCATAATCTATTATAAATAGGTAGGTATATTTACTCCAATTTCCAAATAATGGTTGAAATAAATAAGGATATAGGGGCTATTTGTTTTATTTATTTTTGATTTGTGTTCGGAACTTTGATTTGATTCTGAAAATTTTGGATGGCGTTATTTCTGGTAAAATTCAAGTTGGAATCTTGAATTTTTGGGGGTGAGGCAATAAATTCCACATTCATTTCATGCATAGGCACCTTGATTTTTCATAGCAAATAAAATATTTTATCAAAATTTTAAATTAAAATATTCTAAAAAGTATTCTTTGTAATTTGTTACTTGTTTAATATGGATGTACTTAAAAAAGTGTGCCCTTGCATAGTCCTTTATAATATATTCAGGGCACCATTAAAAATTTTGAGGTAAGGATAGGTTCATGCAAATGAAGATAAAAAAATATGTGGATGTGCACGGCTTCCAAGTATCGCTCTCAAAGGTTAATATTGGGCGGACCACCGTTTTTTACACCCGTATTTTTAAGTTACTTGATACTTTTGAACATACATCTATTACCGTTCATTGTCTAGCTTTTATCTCTTTCTCAATCCTACTAGTTCCCTTCGTAGTACTGCTTATCTGACCAATTTACTTTATTTTCTTTTTATTTCTTTCCAGACCTACTTTTCGAGACAGTGTACAGTTTCTCTCAATTCTGTTTTTGATCTTGTTATTATGGCAATATAATCTGCATAGACAAGGCACTGATGATTTTTATGGTAAAGTATATTATGTTGGATAATAATAATGAATAATCCACAAACAAAGGTTTCTACAGTAGGCCATAACTGACAAAGATAGAGATACGAGTCATGTCCGTGATAACTACGAAGCCTTTGAATTAAATATCTAAACTATCATTTAAAAAAATAATTGGGCGCTTCTACATACGTAATTTTTTCATGAACTACTTTAGACTTGCAGATGATTGATTATACCATTGACTTATCGGGCACGGTGGTGTAGCGGTCTATCGCGCTTATATTCATTTATAGGCAAGTTTATGAGTCTGAGACTGCTGGGTTTCGAATCCCAGACCAGACCATGTGGATTTTTAATTAAATTGCATGGTTCGGTTTAGGATTTGATGTGTGGCGTATTAATAGAAATTCAATTTCTGTTGATATGACATGCAGATTAAAAAAATTCGCCATACATTACCGTCTCGATGATGGTGGGTGAGGTTTTCCGGGTTTTCCTCACCTGTAAGTCAAATGGCACCATCAATCATCTTTAAGTCGCCCCGGAGCGCCACGGCAAATAATAATAATAGCCGTTCCTTTCCCCGGACAAGCTCAGCTTTTGGGGTTAAAATTCACTCGTAAGGGGGTGAATTAGGGAGAGTATTATTATTATTATTATTATTATTATTATTACTTACATAATGTTTTTATAAAAATGAATCGAATATCGAATATTTGCAGACAGTAGTATTTCGTTTTAAGCATTTGTTCTAAGTTTAAAACCATTTATCGTTAAGTATTGTTATCATTTTCACTTTCACAATACATAAAGCGTTTTTCGAGTTTATTTCAACATTTACCTTTTAAATAATATATCTGATTTTCTATTCTTGGCTGGATGAATAAAATTTGCATATTACGCAATAACTAATAATGAACTAAATCATCTAACCTCCTAAAATGTTCGAAAATATTTACCCTTTAAATAAAAACGCACAATCGCGATAGTACCTAAGCTTTGATTAAAAGGTCTCCCAATATTCATTTAGTAATTGTTCTACCATTATCGTTACGATATTAAATTATTAAAACAGTGACTTTTATATTTTCAGACAAACAACGGGGGCGGTTCTGCTGGCATTCGACCGTCGGCGGCCTCAACGCAACCTTTCGGCGGAGGGGGCGGCGGAGGCGGCATAAACAATAAGGTGGCGGGACCCATGGCCACCCAACATCAGACGGCGGGCGTCTACCGCGGTCAATGGGGCAACGTTGGTGGCGGTCACCAACACCAACATCAGGTCGCCGCTGCTGCTGGCGCCACTTATTACCAGCGGTACGCCGTGGCACAACCTGCGCAGCAGGCCCAGATCCAATCGCCGGCACAGAATTCCTACACGCCCAGTAGTACTACCAATAGCAATTATAATAATTCCAATTCGGTATGTATTCATTTTTCTAATAGTTTTTATTGTTGATTTAATAATAATGCCCCGCGGCTGCGGTGTAGTAACTTTAACTCGCAGATCTATGTTCCGAGTCAATAGAAGAAGCTCTTTAAAGATCCTTTCCACTGGTTGGAGCGTTCAGCTAATCTTCTGGATAGAGTGTAGAGAGGTTTCGAGAAATATACATCTTTTTCCCATAGTTGCCTCAGTTTTGAGAATTAAATGCTCATGTTCTTACGGCCGAAAATTTAACGGTTTTGGTGATTTTGTGTGTTTGGGTTAGGTTTACGGTTGATTTTGGTGTTTTTTGTTTGTTTTCTAGGTCTTGTTTATTTGAATTCCTAATTAAAAAATGGACAGGAAGAAAAATAAGATATTTATGTAATTATTAATATTCCTCCAATGCATGCTCGATTAGCTACTTGTAAGGTATCTTTGTAGGTATAGATGAAGCACACCTCGAACGACTTCCTTGCGGCCGACTTCCTGTCTCTCGTCTTGTGAAATCAGGTGCTTGCTGGTAATTCTGATGTACTATTGACAAAACTTCCTCCACGATTCCCGTTTGGCCTTCCTGATGGCCTTGTTGTACTCCGTTAGTGACTTGCGGTATTGGTCCCAGAGCCCAGTTCTTTAACTAGATTAAAGAGATGTCGAACTTTTTTTTTGTCCAGATTTCTGCTCCACCATGGATTTCCTTTCTCTACTTTAGTGGGCACTTGTTCTGATAGACAGTCATAAGGGCATTTTGAATTTGATCATTCACCATTTCACTGCGCTATTCTTAATAGTTGTAATTACGTTTCCCAGGACCTCCTGGAAGAACTTTTCGTATCTACTGCAGTGTGCTTTTTGTGCCACGGAATTGGGTACCCGGTCCGTCCTCTAATGAGGGTTTAGTGGATACCCTCAAGTTAACAATAGCTTTGTTCGGCTTACTTCTGAGGACGGTTTAAAATCGTTATAATCATGCGCAATTAAATTTAGGTGTTCGGGTTTCTAGGCTCTAGGATTGACTGTTTCGTGTGTAATTTAGTGCGCAACTAATTTCACGCAGTTCTGAATCGTTCTGAAACGTTATAAAATTGGTAAGCCGAACAAAGCTACAATTAGTACTCACATCTGCGTACTGATATGTCTAGAACTTGCGCACGATTTTTGTCACGTAAGTTGTTTCTGGTGTGTGTTTTAGTCGCACCCAATGGCGAGCTGTTTGTTGTTTCTCTTACAATAGAAAACTAATTCTCGCACTATCGCTGGAAGGGTGGTTGATATTTACCTACGCCTCCTAAACTATAGAAAAATAGTTTTACATTTTTTCCTCTAAAAATAAAATTGTTCATTCAACCCGGCTTCTTTAAATTTACAGTTTAAGTCGTGAAAGGATATGAATGATTATTCTGTATCGCAACATTACTGTCATTGAGAAATAAATGATTCGTCAATATTTACTAACGTGTCCTGGCTTTTCCATTTATTTAGAATTTTTTCTTTACTTTTTTGCTAATTTTTTTACTTATTTTATATAATTTTGATTCATAAAAATACGACTTTTTAAATATATATATATATATATATATATATATATATATATATATATATATATATATATATATATATATATATATATATATATATATATATATATTTAATAACAAAGTTACTAGGAGATTTTTCTAAAATGATAGAAATTGTTTCATCAATTATTATGTTATTGGACTTTTGGTTTCATTGTGTATTCAATTAAAAAATATGGTATTTTAGTTTTAAAATTGAATGATTCCATTCAAATACCTGCCAGTCTAAATCTATTGATTGATGAGTTTATTTTATTAATTTGAATCCCAGTATGAAAGCTCACGACTTTTTTCGAAAGAATTTAAAATTTGTATAGATGGCATATCGATCCAATCATTCACTAATCAGAATCATTGGCTAATAAATGCGTTCCTTTCTAATGCTATATAGATCGGTGACCCATAAAAAATACAATGTGTTTCTGAAAATATGGAAATTTTATTACATATATAAATTTTCGTGGTAAAGTAAATAAGTCCATATTGCCTATTGAAAGCTATGTGTGGGAACATTGACATAACTTCAGGAGTTCTCGAGTTCTAAACTTTTCAAGCATGCTCAGTAAATTTCTAGATTAAAAAGAGCTGTCTTAGTTTTTAATTGCCCATGAAATTTGGATCGTTTTTGGAACATCAAACCTACTATCTACCTACTATGTTTATTTTATGAAAATATGGAATTTTTAAGACAAATAATTCGTTTAAATTTCATATTTTCTGGTTATAAAAGTTGATAGTAAAGTTAGTAAACAAATTACCTTTTAATTCGATATTATCTGTTTTTTTTTTGACGACATTTCTGTTTTCATTTAATTTTATTTCTGTAAATACCGTTTCACAGACATTCTAACTTCTAACCAATTGTTGAAAGGAGATGGAAGAGAATTTAACGGGTTCATGAAACATCGCTTTTAACAATTTATGTTGGCTAGGTTAGTTATTTTATCAAAAGCCACGCTAATTTCCCGCATGCACGAGATTATTTGTCGACTCAAGGTCAGGGTGATCGCTGGTTTCTTGGTCTTAATTTCTAGATATTAAAAAAACGCTCGAAGTTCATAGTATAATCAGATGTGTTTGTGTATTGCATTTTAATAATATATTTTTTTTTATTTAAACGAACTGAATAATAATTCTGAAATAATCTAGGAAAATACGTTCAATAATTTATCAAAAATTATCGCAGCATCAAAATGGGAAAATTGAAATAAAATTTCCAAAACAAATCAATTTAATAAGAGGGAAAGTCCCATTCCATCAATAAATGGAATGGTTTTATCCAATAACAGCAAACGAATATAAAAAATACTTAGTTGATTATTCTTTCATATACCAATCAACCAGTTTATTTTTTATTTACGGAATACCATCAGGTATGTGTATTACATTTTTTCAAGCTTACTACATTTTCCCAGGAAAAACATTGCAATTGAAAATGTACCTACATTAGTTACTAAAAGATGGAGGTGGTTACATAAAAAACATTCAACTTTGATTCTCTGTATTTTTTTCGAAAGCAAAATATTACTGAGGCACACGTGGTTACTCTACATTCTATGTATGTCCTATTAGTTATGTTCCATCCTGTATAAGGGTAGTAACTCATTGGTTAGAGTTTTAGTCCAGTTAGAAATCTCACTAGGTTTTCCAATAGAAATTAATTCTTTCTAAATAATGTTTTTAAAGTGGCACTGGAAAACGACAAACACGGAAGACGATGCTAATGACTATATGTATACAGGGTTAGACAAAATTGGCAGAACACCCGATTTGTGGCTCAATTATGGGTTGTATTGAAAATTAATTAGAATAAAGTTTTTTTGTATATTTTATGCACTATTTAATGACGTTTAGGTATTTTCATCATCTGTCATATTTATCAAAATATGACGTCATCGGATGAAATTTTAAATGAATCATTCTATATTTGTTTTTTTTTGGATAAATCTTTTCTGAATCCATAAATGTAGAGTTTGAAGGTCCCTGAGTTCATAATAAAATAAAAAATTAATATTTATTTTATAAAAAATAATTATTACCTTATATCAATCGAAATACACAAATCTTTCAAAGTATTGTTCGAAGTGAAAGCCTCCAACTGCCCAGTTGTCGACAAACTCATTAGTCAACAGAGCCAAATAGCAATAGTAAAAGGACTATAATTTTGTTTGAGAGCCAAATTTTTTAAATTTAAACTATGTACATTATTGGTAACTTAATTGGGGTATTGCTAAGCTGGCCATCGTCCTCAATCTGATTGAAGTACGTTCGCTGAGGTCGATCTTTTTCAACTCTCTCATCCACACTTGTTTCGTCTATCTCCTATCGTTCATTCTCTTTATACGGATTAGGAAAAAATTATAAGAGCCATAGGCTGTAGGCATTGCAACTGTATATTTTGTGTAACAACGACTACCACCTTTTCTGTGACTTGCGAGCGTGCGAGCTCACAGAAGGTTGCATGAACTATTATGGGGTATCTCTCTAATTAAATAAATACAATATTTACGTAATTATCTGACTCTAGAATTAGGAAATATATATTATGCAAGTGAAAAATAATAACTTGATTTTGAATTAAATCTTAATATTTTTGACCATTAAGTTTACCAAAAAGGGTCAATAAGGTGATCCCTTAAAATACCAGTGCAAACATTTAATTTCTGAGGATACTGTGTGCATGTCGGAATATTTAAATGTTTATTTTTTCGGGCATAAGGTCTCTGAATTGTTTATTGTTCAATGAAAAAGTTGACTTATCGGTAAATACAATTTATTTTAACTAAAGACCTCACCGATTCGTCTGAATTTCGTAAAACTCTACAAAAATAAAAAAAAATAAGAAAATTTAGCTATACTTATTGTAACAAGTAACGAGTATGTTTATCTCGGTGTTTATTGTACCTGTTCACCAATTTGATTACGATACTATCCGACGTTTTACGGATAACTGCCTGCAATTAATAGAGATGGGCTACACCGTATGGCTCCTATATTGTTTTTCTAACCTGTATATGCAAACTATCTCAATCTCAATATTTGAAACTACATCTTCTTTTAATTCATAATGCTTTCTTAAAATTAACTTAATAAACTTTTAAGTTTTAGTTCAATTATAGGTGTGTTGAATGGAATTTTATATTATAATTAATAACGATATTATATATTGATAAAATTAAATTGTATCATATTTGAAATAGAAAATGTCAATATCACAATCTCAATGGAACCTTGGAGGGAAGGCAAAGCGCTTCGGACAGAGGCAGATGAAAGTGATAACTTTAGGGGTGCAGATTTTTACTACAATTCTGGCCTTTCTTGCGGGGATACGTGCTCAGGAGTAATATATTGTACGATACACGTTGATATTTAATCTTTCTGGAAATGTTTTTTAATAAGTCGCTTCCAAGTACTCGC